ATAAACTATATTTATTAATGTATATTCATTTTATTACAATATAAATTTAAATCAAATGAATTTTATAATTGTTGACTTGATTTTTTTTTTACCAAAATGTTAGCTTTCTAAAAATCAGCTTAACAAAAATTAAAAAAAATAAGAAATAAAAACAAATTTCGTTAGAGCTCAAATTTATGTAATAATAATAAAGAAAAGTTCTTCCGAATTGACCCCAGGGTACGCAACGCAACTCATCAATAATAGAATCAACACCTAATTGAATTCTGGCTGAACATATTAAATTGTCGGTTCTTTTGTCTTCCTTTTTCTCAAGAATATTATATTCAACATTTAATGTTATATTATTCTGGCTGAACATATTAAATTGTCGGTTCTTTTGTCTTCCTTTTTCTCAAGAATATTATATTCAACATTTAATGTTATTTTATATTAAATAAATATATTTGATAACGTGAGATCATCTTCATAATTTTCTGTCCTCAGCTATTTATTGATTCTTAAATTAGAAAATTAATATGTTTAATTTTTTGAGATTTAACCACGTTCCCACTTTCTATTTCTGCCTTGCTACGCTTTAAGATTCTACAAACCGAACTCCTTTATATTAGCCTTTAAGAAATTTCAACAATAAACGATTCTAGAGCACGAAAAAGATTAGCAGAAATAAATTTCCATTTTCGTTCTTTCTGCTGTCCGCTTAGTGAGCCACTGATCTATCGCTAAAAGGATTGCCCCTCGATACCATCGATGGTTTTGACAGTTCTATTCATACTCAATGTTGTATCACTTACCCTTCTCTGGATTACTCCACGGCTTGTTGGCATACTCGTCCAGGAGCAGAGTGCCCCGTTCGATGCTCACGGTGCGCTGATTGACATGCATGCGCGTCTCCTGTTCGCCGCGCACAATTGCCACCTGTATGCTCTTCAGGTTGCCCATCAGCGTCTCGTCCTGCAGGGTTAGGTTGACAATCTCGTCGCCATAGTTGTAGAGGAAGACAATTTCGCGCGCTTGACTGATGTACAGATGCACAAAGTTGTTGTAGTGGTCGTTGGCGTACAGCACCAGGGAGTTGGTGTCGTAGGTGCGCAGATTGATCAAGATGTTCTGACTGAGAATGCCCTTCAGCATCTCGCGCTCGTCCTCAATGCCGTGCAGCAGTATTGCCGGCGTGGTGCCGACACTCAAATAGTTGCGCATTAGAAACGATTCGCGATTGATAAACGTGAGCGCCTTCTCATTGATGTCTGCAACGGTCAGAGGTTAGGTCAGGAGCTAGATTTGTCGAATAGATAGAGCAAACTTACTTGTCTCGCAGAACTCGCCAATGTGCGCCCAGGGATTGTTGCAGACACACTTGAAGCTGCTCCACAGCTCCTTGCACTGGGCGCCATTGCGACAGGGCGATGGCACACAGGACGGCTTACAGTCCTTGATAATCTCCGACAGGTGCACAGACATGTAGCTGTAGATGTCGAGTATTTCGCCATTGACCACCAGACCGCGGAAGCAGCCAATGAGGCCCGCCTTCACGGACAGCTTCTTCAGCAGGTCACTGTGGACAGAAAAATAAGAAAAGGGAGAATAGGAATATTGCTTGAGGATTATGTGTTATTAAGTGGACTGAGAGCTGGTCATAACTATTCAATAAGCCGGTCAAAGCGCAAACAAATATATTCACGTGACCCTTTTCCAACTGTTCTCAACTTTGCGCAGACTTTATGCAAATGAATTGAGGAGCTGCTGCGGCTTTTCCTCCTCCTCCTCCTCCTCCTTCTCCGCCATCATGTGGACGTTGTCGCGACGCCTTTGGCTTTTTTACAATTTTCCACGTTTCGGGTAAATCGATGTAGACGACATTGGACTAAAGGACCAGCAGGACTTTAGTTTGGGCAGCAGCATTTTTCACTACCCCAGTGTCTGCAGCTTTATTCGTCTATTGAAATTTTCGGTTACTATATGAGGCAGTTTTTTTTCTGGTCAACTGCTTCAAATACACTTGAAAAGGCAGAGAGCAGGTTGAGCGTTTTTTATATAGTCTATAACTTAGTTAACATCTGCATATTACAATATTTAAATACAGTTAAGATTTTAACTAAAATTGTAGAAATTGTTGCTTTAACTCGTTCTTTATTTATTTATTTACTACTTTAGAGCATTTCAATTCACTTTAAATTGCTATTATGCCATTTCTGAATATAAACTTTAGTTAATCTTTTTCCCTCACTGTGCATAATTGAGATCTCATCTAATCAACCGCTTTTCACTTGAGATAGAGTATTTCAACTTTCTTTTAATTTGTTGCCCATTTTCCAGCACACTTTTTTACCCGAACTCTTTCTTTCACTCCGTCTCTCTCGCTGTTTCTTTTATCTCACTTTTTTTTCATCTCAGCAATTTGCAAGTTTGGTTCGCTTTCAGTTGCCATTTTTTGCGCGAACTGAATTCTTACCCTTGATTTTCTGGCTGCATTGCTTTCCTTTGCCCCTTTTTTCGTAGCCAACAATGAATTGGCCAATAAAATCTCAAGTGTAAGCTTTTGAAAATTAAAGTGGCGGAAATGTCTTGTTTATACGCGTTCAGCCCCAACTCTAATGCGAGCACCAGCAACAGCAACAACAACAATGGAAAGTTGCTCAAAAAAATGTCTTTCTAAATTATGTAAATTTCATTACAAGTCGCCGCAGTCGCCCTCACTGTCGCCGTCGGCGTCAACGTCGACGTTGTTGAATGTTGTCTGCACTCAAAGCTCTAAGTAAAATTAAAATTCTTGTTTTAAATAAAAGAAATTCCCAACTTTCAACTCGCACTGGGGTTTTTTACTTCAAGTTTAGTATACCCAGTGAAGGGAGATGTGAAAAGGGGTATTTGGCTTATGAAGGGAGACAACGGCTAGGGCAGCAAAAGTGAGAGGCATAAGAAAAGCCACTCAATGAGCACGAGAAAACGAGCTAAGGGAGATTCTTACAAATGCAAACTCGAAGTCTCACTCTAATTCTTCACTTCTCTACAGGGTATCAGCTCGTCATTCACACTCACCAACACTCACTCCTCCCCCTTTATCACTCTCTTCTCCTAAGTTTTATTTTCACTTTTGTTGCGATTTCTTTTCACTTTGTCGCCGCTTTGGCTCGTAATTGTTTGCTAAGTTGTGTAATTGTTCTTGAAACGCTCAAACTTATTGAATGATGCCAAACGAATTGGCCGGCAGGCAATAAACGGTGCGAAAGGGTCCTTGGGCGCAGCGTGTGTCCTTTGCCTATGTTAATTGCAATCAGCAGCTTTTAAGCTGTGCGAAGCTATTAAGTCATTAGTTTTTCTGTAACATGTGTGTGTGTGTATGGATGTGTGTGTGCATGTGGCACATGTTAATTTTGCTGTAGTTGTTTCTGTGTGTTTTTTTAATTCATTTTTACTTTTTGTTGCACACTTTTGAGCTCTCAACGTCAACAGCAGGCTGGCAGGCAGACAGGCATTGCGCATACGACGCGTGCAGCGTGCTGGAGGGTGGTTGTAAAATGAAATTTAGCGTTTTGCCTTGCAAATGATGTGCCGTGTGACTGGCTGACACTTGGCTAAAAGGATTTGCACGCTGGCTGCCGGCCAAAATAAAAATAAAAATGTGGAAAAAAAAAACGAGATTGCACAAAATTAACGGCAATAAAATGAAAGAAATTTGACAGCCTATAGAGTGAGCGGTGTGAGGAGTGTCACAGGGATGTGCAGGACTCGACTGCAGCGCAGCAATGTGTGCAAGCGGAAATCCTATTAACGCTGCAAACGCGCAAAGTGCGAAGCAATTAAGAATTTATTTAACACCGTCACAAGCAATTAAGCACTTTTCATTCATTCATGGACGCGCTGCGACACACACGACAGAGACGACACACGCGACACTGTGTGGACAGAAGGGACTGCAATCGGACAGTGACACAATTTCCCCAGTGGCAGCCGCTGCCGCCACGTTCAGCTGTTCAGTTGCCCAGTTGCCCAGTTGCCCAGTTGTCCCGCTGTTTGGACGGGGGCCAAATAATTCGCATATTTGGCACGCCAGCTGTCTGCATTCTGGCTGGCAATGGCATCTGTCTGCATCCGTCGTATTATCGATGGCCATGCAAATGATCAACAGGACACTAGCGGTCGCTGCTGCTGTTTCTAAATAACATGACATGCGGCGCCGATGTCAACCAAAAAATAGAAATGAAAAATAACAAGTAAGAAAGCTCTAGTCGAGACTGCTCGACTACGAGATCCCCTGAACCCTTGGAGCAATAGATATTTCAATCATTTTTCGCGTCTTTCAGCTTACAGAAGAAACACGCACACACAGGCACACATACACACACACGCATACAGACACACATACACACACACACGCATACACACACAAACGCATACACATACACACATACACACACACATACACAAACACATACACAAACACATACACACACAAGCACCCACGCATAAACACGCATGGGCTGTAGTGTGCGCTTACTATGAGAACTTAATTGCTTAATAACTTTTTTTGTGGACGTACGATCTTCATGAAACTTTTAGATTATGATTATAACATGAATATGCATGTAATTGCCAAAGCACANACGGACAGACGGACAGACGGACAGACGGACAGACGGACAGACAGACGGACAGGGCCAAATCAACTCAGCTCGTCACCCTGATCAAGAATATATATACTTTGTGGGGTCTGCCACGCCTCCTTCTCCCTGTTACATACATTTCAACAAAACCATTATACCCTGATTTCCCATTGAAAATGGGTTCAGGGTATAAAAATGAAAACCCCAGCCGATTACAGCCATC